GATGAAACAATTTCGTTTAGTTTAACATTCTCTCTTGTTAACGTCTGACATTATCGAATATTTTCATAAAAATGTAACGAAAAGAAAAGAGGAACAGAAAAAAAGAAAAAGAGAAAGAATAGAACAACTTAATAAGCACTTAAGAAAATAATTAACATTCGCGAACGACATTATAACAGATAACATACGTATTAACGTCGGACTCTACAAGTCAATAATTTAAATACGCAATACATCGTTCGATTTGATTTTCGAAATAATCATTAGACTTTTACAATCGTCGTTCGGATTAAAAAAAAAAAAAAAGAAAAAAAAAAAAAAAATAAAAAAAAAAGAAATAAAAAAAAAAAAAAAAAAGAAATAAAAAAAAAAATAAAAAAAAGAAGAACCTGTATGTGTACATATATATATAATATAATCTTAAATTGTGTTCTATTCGATTAATGAAAAATCATATTACTTTTGCAATGTTTATATCCATATACACATGTATGTATGCATGTATTTATTGCAAACAAATATATATACCAGTACTTATCGACAGTATAAAAAAATAATGAATACATTTATATATATATATATACATATATATATATATATATATATATATATATATATATATATATATTTAAATGAATTTTTTATAATTAACGAATAAGTTAAGAGGATATTGAGCTGATATTGAGAATTAATTTTTTTGGGCGCACGATAAATATTATAATGTATGTATATTTAAAAATTAATATGGATCTGTCGTTTCTTTTTTCTCTCTTTATTTCTTTCATTTTTCTTCTTGCTTTCCTTTATTTTTTTTTTTTCTTTCTCGTCGATTCATTTATCGATACTTTTATTTTACCTTTTCTCTTTTTCTCACTCGAACCGCAACGGGGAAAAAAAAATTCTTTTCTTAGGCCTATTTATAGGCGATATAAACGAGAAATGATAAAATAGAAGTAAAGAAAAGAAAAAAAAAAAAAGAAGAAAAAAGAAAAAAAGAAAAAGATATTAATCATTATTCTTATATAATAAACGGGGCAGCGTACGCAAAGTGAAAAACATTTATTTAATAAATTATAAACTCGTTCCTTTATGCACGTACATATATACATATATATATATATATATATATATATATATATATATATATATGTATATATATATATGTATATATATATATATATATATATATGTATATATATATATGTATGTGTGTGTGTATGTCTCGCCATTTTTCAAATAACAAGTAGAATAAGAAGAAGTATCATCTGGTATGTAACAAACGAGTAATATCCATATAAACTGATTTTTGGATCTATGATCGACCTATTTTTTATTATATAATATATCATATCAGATGAAAAAATTACATTACAAAAGAAAAAAAAAAAGGAAAAAAAAAAGAATGTATACATTATATCATAAAATTATTACGGCGAACGAATTATTAATTATTATTTATTATTTAGAAACAAACGAAACAAACGTAGAATTTAATTCGCAGATTAATCTACAACATTTAGGACGAAAAATATTAACAAGAAAGAAAAAGAAGAAGAAGAAGAAGAAGTATAAAAATTAATCATTAAAATTATCTAACCAAAGAAGATTCCATGAACCTAATGAGCAAAATAATATGATTGTCAGTTTAATTTAAAAACATAACAAAAAAAGAAAAAGAAGAAAAAAAAAACAAAAAAAAAAAAAAGAAAGAAAAGCAAAGAAACAAAAAATAAAAATAAAAAAAAAAATAAAAAAAAAACGTATTTTAATAAGAACAATAAAACGATATCTATTTAAAAAGATCAACTTAGAACGATCTCTAAAGGTAAATAAAAATTCTTTTAAAATGATCGAACGCTTTATTACGCATAAAATCGATCAATTGATATTCGCACTTCGTCTCGACAGTGTGTGGCACATTATATTTTAGATTATTTGTTGAATTTAAAAAAAACAAAAAAAAGAAAAAGAGAAGAGACAGAGAGAGAGAGAGAGAGAGAGAGAGAGAGAGAGAGAGAAAAGAAAAAGAAGAAAAAAGAAAGATCTCGTCGAGCGTTTAACAAACTTCGAAAGAAATATTCGTATTTTTAGAAACGAGATCAACGAGCAATTTTTCATTACGTTCTATCGTATTATACAATAAGATTGAATTAAATAATGTACGATTTACATGTACCTATACTTATATATATATATATATATATATATATATATATATATATATATATATATATATATGTATGGATATATGTACATTCAAAAATAATAATGATTAAGGAAGAACGATAACAAGTTGTAGGTAGTTTTGCTCGTAATTATAATCTCGTCTAATGAGATTTTTCTTTCTCTCTCTTTTCTTTTTCAATTTTTCTGTTTTTTTTTCTTTTTTTTCTTTTTTTTTTTTTTTTTTTTTGTTTTTTTGTTTAATTTTCACTTTTTATCTTCTTTTTTTTCTCACATCGCGACGAACAAAGCGAAAGAGAGAGAGAGAGAGATAGAG